CGAAAAACGGCTCCATATTTTTCCTAGTATTTTAATTTTGTGTTATCTCTTAGTGTCGGTTAAAAATTGATTATAAAAATAATTTCTACCTCTGGTTTAACGTAAGTTAGGGGGGATATTTTCTGTTGGCAACTGCTTATCATTGGCTGTTTTAATTTGTAGTTTTGGAAGAAGGGTTTCCACTTTAAATAGAACGGACGGAAAAGAGGAAGGGCTTTTTGCCAGAATCAACGCAGAACTACGTTTCTTTGTTTTGAAATCGGCGTCTTGCGAGTTAAGAGCAGATCCACATTTTGTTGAAGTTTAAAGTTTGTTTTGGGAGTTTGGAAGTTTTTATCGTCAGTATGTTGCCAGTCAGGGCAGTTTTTGAGTTGAGTGAAGTTTGTTTATTTCGCTTCGGTGACTTACCGCAGTAGTTTGGATTTGTGTTGAGACCAGCAGTTTTGGAAGTTTAGAGTTTCCGTTTTACGGAGTGGAAAGCCGAGTTTGCGGCAGTTTTTGGAAGTTTACACCTTCAGAAAAGTGCGTCTCTAAGGTGTGTCGGCGCCGACTTGAGTGTTCTTTTGTGTAAATTTGAATTTTGTTTTTTTTTGTGTAACGTATTGGGATTAGCAGTTTGGACATGTACCGAATGTAAGTAAGATTAAGTTTTAATTGTAGTTTTTTTCTTTGTAATAATTGTTTGTTTTCTTGTTTTTTTTTTATTGTGTAACCATTAAAACTGAAATTTGTAATTCTCACATTAATTTCTGTGTTTGGCTTTCGAACGATTTCATTTCCTTTAATTTACTGTTTTCTTTGAATACTTGCCCAAGGTCCATTTTATTTAATCAAAATTCTTAGGATCGATTTGGAATTTAAGGTCTTTGGTCTAACCCACTATATGAGAAAAGAGTCGAATTCCTCCTCTGTGCTGGGGAGGTTTTGTTCCGAGAAGTATAAGGGTTTGAGCTAGCTAGGTTTGTTTATTTATTTATTTATTTAACCAGAAACCATACAGAATAAAAATTCCAATTACATGGTACTGGGGCTCTGAACAAATATTAGGACTAGGATCTAATTTTATTTATTATTGAATTTAGGGGATCGTGAAAAAAGTCGATATCATTAACTGAGGATAACTTATTTAAAGCGATCAAGATCTTAATAAGTGGGGAAGTTGTGTTGTTAACTACAAAAATAGTATTATTTTGCCTTAGCTTAACAAATGGTACCTTAAGCTTAATTTCTTGAAGTAATTCGGAAGAGTATAACAAGTTGTGTAAAATTTTGAAGACAAAAATTGTGGAGGCAATGTACCGTCGGGTTTCTAACCTCGTTATATCTAAGCCGAAAGTACTATTTAAGTAATTAAGCTGGGTACCGTAAGAGATCAAATGTGGATAATTTTGGGTTGACCTAAAAAACATTACTCGGATGAACTTTTTCTGCACTTTTTCGATCATGTCTGAGTATTTGAGAGTTTGAGGAGACCAGATACATGCAGCATACTCAAGCTTGGATCTAATAAACGCATTATATAAGGTTAGCATTGTCTGTATATTCGTGAAATTGAGTGTATGCCTGATAACGAAACCAAGAAGTTTGTAACACTCATTTGTTAGGTATTCAATGTGTAAGTTAAAGTTAAGGTTGGTATTGAAAAACACGCCCAGGTCCTTAACGGAGGTGACTCGTAGTAAGACCTTTCCATTCATCTTATAGTCAAAAAGTAAGGGATTTTTCGATCTAGTAAAAGTAAGGACTTTACACTTATTGATATTTAGTTTTAGTTTATTTTTGATACACCACTTAATTACTGAGTTAATGTCCTCTTGAATATTTAAACAGTCACTTGGGGATTGGACTTTATTAAAAAGTTTTAGGTCGTCCGCAAATAGTAGTGCTTTCGAGTTTTTTATCACTCGCGGTAAATCATTTATGTATAAGAGAAACAGAAAAGGACCAAGAAGTGTTCCCTGGGGAACGCCTGATGAGGGATAAAATTCGGCTGAATTCACACCATTGAATTTCACTCTTGTTTTACGGAGAGATAAATATGATTTTAAGAATTTGACGGTCGGATTACTTACGCAATTTAAAACAAGTTTACGGAGCAAGACTTGATGGGATACTGTATCAAATGCCTTCGCAAAATCTGTATAAACACAGTCAACCTGGGCTCTCTCATCCAAGGCTCCTGCTGAGAAATGCGTAAACTGCATTAAATTTGTAATCGTTGATCTGTTCCGCGTGAAACCGTGCTGCTGATCTACAATTATACTGCTGAGATGGGAATAAAGTCTAGTATAGATCACTCTTTCGAAAATTTTCGCTATTGCTGGTATAATTGCAATTGGGCGATAATTCTCAACTAATTTTCGGCTTCCACTTTTGTGAATTGGTGTTATTCTGGTGCATTTCCAAGCTTCAGGGAATGTACATGTTTGCAAAGCTAAATTAAATAGATGTTGTAAGGGGGTTACCAATAAAGATGCACATCCTTTCACGATGTAGGGTGGGATTCCATCTTCGCCTATAGCCGACCTCGGTTTCAATTTTTTAATTGCTTCCAGTATCTCGGATTCATGTAACTGAGTCAAGTGCAATTTGGATAGCACCAGGTCCGATTCCACGTCATCTTCCGGGTCATCGTTCCTCTCCATAGTGTAGACTGACTCGAAGAAGGATGCAAAGGCGTCCGCAATGCTTCTGGCGTCCGTTAACGAGGTGTCTTTGTACTCAAAAACTCCAGGTAGTTGACTATTCTTCCTCAACGACTTGATGTAGTTCCAGAATTTATTGGAATTCTTCCGCAGATCCATTTCAATTTGATTAATGTACCTCTTATGAGCAATGTGGATCATTCTTTTGAGTTCTTTTCTGGCTTCAATGAAGTCTTCCGATGGGCCCTGTAACCGAAACTTATTTTTCTGTTTGATTTTCTTAATAATGTCTATATTAAACCAGCTAGGATACTTATTGGCACTCCTAATTGTAACTTTGGGGACACATTCATCGAAAATGTTCATTACCGTTTGATTAAAGCTAGTTACTGCATCATCTACCGATTTGAAATTCTTCAGGATAAGAGACTCCTTCCAATTGACATCGCGAAAAAGGACGTACATTTTAAGAAAATCTGCTTTTTTGAAATTGAAGTTGGTTAATTTGGTAATTCGCTTAGCTGGTCTATGGACTTTGTAGACCATTTCTAGTGCAGGATGAAGTGGATTAATTTTATCCAGTGAGTCGACAGCAGATTTAATTTCCGCGTTTAAGTTAGTTAAAATTAGGTCAAGGGTTCTATTATTGCAGTTTTTAAGTTTAACCGTATTAATGAGTTTTAAGTTGTACATCGAAGCTATATTTTTAATTACTTTGCATTTAGCACTCGCGTTTTCGAAATTATACGTGGCGTCAACAATTTGTGGTAGGTTAAAATCGCCTGCTATTAACACTTCCGATGAATGCAACATGTTTTCAATTGTTTCTAAACTTTTGGTAAAACTCACGTACTTATCAATACCAGATTTCGGTTGAAAGTAGACAACACCAATAATGTATGAAGTATTATTAATTTTAAGTTTGACCCATATTTCATTTAGATCACTTTGAAATTCCAATTTTTCAGCATTCAAATCGGTCTTGACTGCGATTAAAACTCCGCCTCCCATGGTGCACTTCATTTCTTCGTAATTACGGTCATTGCGAAAGACCGCATATTGATTGTTTAAATACTCAGCGTCATGAAAATTTTCCGTTAACCAGGTCTCAGTCAGTAGAATAATGTCGTAATTTGTAATTGCCAATTTATTTTTGAAAGATTGCGCTTTCGTTCGCATTCCACTTACGTTCTGATAATAGATTGAGAGCGTTGATCCGTACCTATTTCCTTGCTTGATTAGTGTTGGGGATGGCCTAAAAAATCAATTCTGCTTCTTTCTTGATCGAGTCGTTTTTTGTAGACTGGGACTGTGTTGTATACGGTCTTTTTGGCCTACGGACCGGTTTATATATATATAACGTCGCAAAAGTGTTGTTGATTAATTTGTTTGAAGAGTTTGACGAAAGCTTTTTTTTTAAGGTATTTTTGAATGATGGGGGCAATGAAATCAGGGGAAACAGCAGGGAAGAGGACATTGGCGATGCGGAGTGATAAATGTTTACTGCAACCTACCTTCGTGAAATGAGAATGAGACATGCGTGATCGAAATTTAAGAGAATGTGCAAGTGCGTAGATAGGAGAAATGTGGAGAAGAGTGCCATTATATAAATCATCAAATTGAACTTTTTGTAGTTGAAGACGTAAATTTTCTATAGACTCCTTCGTGGGATGGGAACGGTACTTCATTGCAAAGTAGATCTTCAACAAGCACTTTCGCTTCTTCAAGCAACTTTTGTCCCATCCTTTTTCTTGCAAGAACTTTGATATTTTCTTCAACTTGTCGATCTCGTTGAACAAATTGGCAAATGTAAAATGCATACTGAAATGTAATTTATTGTAACATCTTATTTATAACATTGATGAAAATTGTACCTAATTATTTTAAAACAATCTAGGTAATAGATTAACAAAATTCTATACTTAAATGACTTATTTTTAGAATATAAAAAAAATGCAAGTAGGCATTTTTTTGTCAATGTCAAAGTAACACGTTCTTCTGACATGTACCTAATTATTGTAAAACAAAATTCTATAATAAGTTCTGTCAAGCATCATTAATTAGTTCTCTTGATACATCATGTCTTGCGATCCTGAAGAGATAGTCGTACTGTGTGATCCTCCTGAGGAAGGAAGTGAAAGTGATGCTGAGGTTGACGTAGAATTTCAAAGGAGAGAAGTACAACACTTCAAAACTGTAAAATTTCGTATCTTTAAATTTTATAAAACGTACATTTAATAATTGGCAAATGTAAAATGCATACTGAAATGTAATTTATTGTAACATCTTATTTATAACATTGATGAAAATTGTACCTAATTATTTTAAAACAATCTAGGTAATAGATTAACAAAATTCTATACTTAAATGATTTATTTTTAGAATATAAAAAAAATGCAAGTAGGCATTTTTTTGTCAATGTCAAAGTAACACGTTCTTCTGACATGTAACTAATTACTGTAAAACAAAATTCTATAATAAATTCTGTCAAGCATCATTAATTAGTTCTCTTGATACATCATGTCTTGCGATCCTGAAGAGATAGTCGTACTGTGTGATCCTCCTGAGGAAGGAAGTGAAGGTGATGCTGAGGTTGACGTAGAACTTCAAAGGAGAGCAGTACAACACTTCAAAACTGTAAAATTTCGTATCTTTATATTTTATAAAACGTACATTTAATAATTACACAGGCATTCCGAGCGAGATGTAGGAAAGTTGCGGCTAACGAGATGTACCACAGGCTTCGTCGAAAGTGCAAATACAATCCCCGGGAATACAAATCGAGGCGGGCCTACGACCGGGTGATGAATCAGAAGGGTACCATTTATAGACGGAAGTTGATTGCCACCGGCAAGTTAAGTGATACCCTGAAGATGAACGCTGCGGAACGGTTGTTTGCCCTGCTTCCGGGGTACTTGCAGTGGGCGAAGATCAGGGTACTGGAGGACTGGAGGGAGAGAAATCGGAAGGCGAAGGACCGGTTGTACCAGTTGGTAAGCTCACATAATCACATCACCGTTCAATGCATGAATCAATTAAATTTTAGCAAAAACGACGACGAGAATTTGTTGAGCGGGCGTTGCGTTCGAGGGACACGGACCGCTTAATTATATGTTTCCTCAAAAGACCTCTTGTGCTGCAGAAAATATTCGCCGAAGGCGAAGATTTTCGACCGGCGATAAAGTTTCTTTTGGGGCAACGTATCACTAATTATGTGGTCCGGTTGGTGGAGGTGTTGCGGGAGAGTTCCACATTCCAAACGAGGGCTGAGGAATTCTTGCAGAAGGGGCGCCGGATGCCCAGTTTCGTACCGACCTTCGAAGCTGTGCATCGGGATAGTCCCTTTGTCGATGCGAGACATCCTCGGCTTCCGTTGATGTACCGTAAGCAACTGAACAGACTGATGTCTTCCAAGAAGGTGGTGGAGGCAATGGTCTGTGCAGTTCGGTGCAAGTGGAACTATCCTAAAATATTTCCACCCTCTATGACTGAGTAAGTACAACACCATAACTTACTTCATTATAACGAGGCCACTATTTTCAGGTAATTTGATTTCGTTGTGGCTCTTCTCTTCCTTCCTTTGTCTTAAATAATCGGTTTTTTACTTGCTGATTTGGTACATCCGCCTGGCAGCTGACAGATCTATAAATAGTCCATTTGTTATAAAAATACCTTAGAGAAGGAAAGATAAAGGAGGGGTAAGGGTACTCTTAAAATGTAAACAGCTGACGCCCTGAGGTACACTATATTGTCCACGAGTAAAATACATGCGGAGTTTATGCTTATGCAACTTAAAGTACAGGGAACGCTGCTGTAAACGCCCCGATCGGTTGTTCGATATTTCGTAATGAAATTTGCAAAAAGAATACGCTGCAGTGTAGTTTAAGTTGCTTATATAAACAATCAAAAGATCCCACTCCAAAGTTTGCCTATGAAATTAGATGCATTACCGAAGATCGGAAGTTTGACGTTTGTGAATGTCAAATCATAAGGTGTTTTATGAGTGAAATAGGTTATTGTCATATAGGTTAGTCGTACGGGAAATAATTTTTTAAAAAAAAGGAAGTGTTTTTATTGTGGGAGGCTGTCGATGATTTTTCTTAACGTTTCTCGTTGTTTTTTGCCGGGTTTTACAAAAGACGGTATCGGTTCTGCGCGATTAAATACTTTCACAAAGTGTTCGGCAATTTTGAATCTCCCCCTGCCCTTTAGCTCCACAATGTAATTTATATGGCGAGTTACTCTGACCACGTCCACAACCTCGCCCAGCCAATAGCCCATGAATTTGGCTTTCGCCCAAACCAAGTCCCCTACATTTATGGGCGGTGGAACGGTGGCCAGAGGATTGACAGGGTCGGTAGCTGATGGTGAGGGCGAAGATGATGAGGAGGAAGATGAGGGCGGAGAGTGTCGGATCGGCGACGGCGATGCGGGGTTCGTCACGATGTCGTCCCACCCGGCTTGTGCGCCCGCGTTTGATGGACCAGCAACAGCTGCATCGATCGCTGCCCGTTTGTTCATCTGCCTTGAACGTGGCCTACTTCCGTCCGCACAGCGATGGACCTCAATAGCGACCGAGATAGCGACCGATGTAGGTGCAGGTAAGACCGTGGGCTCCACCGCTGTGTTTTGACTTTCATTTTCCATGTTCAATGCAGATGAAGGACCGACAACATCATCAATCACCGCCGTTGCTGTGTCCTCAACACCTGCCGTCGACACATCCGTCGAGGACGACTCCTGGGACGACCTTTCTCGCATCGCTTTTCTCCCCCTTTTTTGCCTTTGTGGCCTTTTTTGGTACACTTTTGGCTTTATCTCGTACCAAAAAGGGGGAAAAAGTCGGAGCGCTTGCCCCAGCAACTCTTTTGCCTCTTCTTCGGAGCCGGCTTCGGCCACAAAATCGTTTACTTCGCTTTTCTGCAGCAATGTTTTCAATATTTCGACTGCTTCTGTTGGAGGGGGGGCACTTAATTCAAAAATCGCTTGAATTATGTATTCCATTTTAGATTTGCTGTACCCGCCTTTAGCCGTTCGCTGTTTAACTCCCTCCAACGCAGCCGAGTGGTCCAGTAAATGTGCAAGGGCCGCAACAGGGGATAGGGAAATGACGTTTTTAGTTTTTAGATCGTCGAAATTGTGTCGTATAAATTCTTCTAATTTGACCTTCGTATCCCTTGTTGCGTAACCCTTGTAAAATTCTTTGCATATCTGGTTGATATTAATTTCGGCCGCTGTTTCATACTGCCGTATTATGTTTTTCAAAATTTGTAGCCGCACCGGTCTGAAGAAGAGGCTCTAAAATAAAGTAACGATTTGTATTTGTCTGTTTGTCTGTATGTCGTTCGTTTTGTACAATTAATTATAACAGGCGATCCGACAGGTCGCCTTTGGAATTTTTCTTTAATTTTAATTTGAACTTCCAAAGGCCACTCGATGGACGTTATAGATATTATAGTTTGTATAGTTACTTACATTAATTGCTTCCATGCTTCCTAAAATAATGATGTATATTTAATTAATTAAATTAAATGTAAAAATTAAATAAAAATTAAAGTTTTGAAAAATGTAATAAAAAAAAAATAAAAGTTTCGTAGAATAATATAGCTGATGTGTACTCAAAGAGATTTGGAAAGGAATGAAAACATAAGGTGAAATATTTGCATATTTGATATCAGTTGTTTGTCAATCGAACCAAATTTTAATTTTGATGGATTATCTGAACTTATCCCAGAGAAGGAGCGCGTAATTTTTGAAGGGGACCCGGTTGATAAATAACCGAACGAGGGAGTTTTAAAGGGGGTCATGTCAAAAATTTTGAGTTTTTTTTGAATTTTGAGTGCCTAAATGGCCTCGTGGCCCAAAAGTAAGGCCCAATTTGGATTCAGAGCACCCCTTTTACTAATACATATAAACCAAAAAAATTTCAAGTCGATATCTCGATAAATAAAAAAGTTGCATTTTTTGACTTTTTCCTACGTCCCGGCATAGAAAAAAGTGAAAGTCCGGTAGGCTCCGAAATGGACAATTTTTCGTAATTTTCGTCGTAAATTTCGATGTTTGGTCAACCTCTCGGAAATCGGGTGCGAGGAATCCAAATTTGACATTTATTTTGACCTGCGAGGCCATTTAGGCACTCAAAACTAAAAAAAAACTCAAAATTTTTGACATGACCCCCTTTAAAACTCCCTCGTTCGGTTATTTATCAACCGATCGAGCTCGTTGAGGGCTCGTTGGAAAGCTAAAGGATCAGAGAATCCACCACAAAAATTTGAGCCCGGTGGGTCGAAGGGTTACGTCACAGCAGCTGACCAAAGTTAGGGTGGATTTTCTCCGGAACCGGATGTCCGATCTTAGCGAAATTTTTTTTTCTGAATTCTGTGAACCTTCCTCTTTCCAACGAGCCATAATCGAGCCCGATCGGTTCATAAATAACCGAACGAGGGAGTTTTAAAGGGGGCCATGTCAAAAATTTT